GAAGAAAGAGGTAGGTAGCGGGTGAAGAAAGATTACAGTTAGCCAGGGCAGGCTTTGAAAGTATTATCCCCCAAAAGAGAGAGTAAAAAGAGAAAATACTGAAAAGGGATAACAAGTACCCTACTGCAGCTGGTTTATTCTGCTGCTAAAGAAATGTCGTGTTTGTTCTGTGGTAAGTCGCATGAAAGTAAGGACTGCGTAGTCCAGCCAGATCGTTCTCTCTAGGGAAGAAAAAATAAAGAAAGTCAGGGAAAAGAACTGTTGTCTGAAATGTTTATGCTTTGGCCACCACCGTGCAAAATGAGTTCAAAATGTGTAAAGTTTTTGTACGCTGTCATGTCTGCTCAAAACCTCATACAGAGCTTTTCTGTCCTGAGAATAGGTAAAACGAAAGAAATTAGTGATAAAAGTAAACCCCTAGCGAATATCCAGAACACACTTGCAAATCAGCAGTGTTCAAGAGAAGTAGCTCTCATGACACTATAAATACTAATTACGGGTAATAAGAAAATTAAGAAGGTTAGGACACTATTGGACAGTGGGTCCCAGAGGAGTTATATTTTAAAAAGCACCGTGAAAGAACTTGGTCTTAAGCCTCTCGCTACAGCAACTATTACCCACACGGTATTTGGAGGTGCAGAGATAGAAGCTAAACCTCATAGTAAATATAAAATTAAGTTAAGTGCACCGAGTAATGGTCACAAATCAGTTCTCACAACCGAATTCCTTGACCAAGAAAAGATATGGGGGAACAGCATCCATAGGTATTTCTCAAAAAGTTCTAAATCAGCGGTTCTCACCCTTTTGACTTACGCGTATCATCTAAACAAAAATTGAAAATCTTTAGTACCACCACTACACTTTACAATGATTATTTTTAATTTTCTCAAGAGAAATATTTAAAAAAAATATATATATTGCCATTTTCATAACCTACTGGATATTTGTTTTAAATATGCACATATAAAAATATTAGATTAAAAATTGGTCGCATTAAAATTATCAAAATTTAAGTTATAATGCAAATGTACCTCGATATACGAGTGTCCTAATAAACGAGTGTGTAGAGATACGAGCCACCGAGCGAGCGATATTTTGCTTTGAGATGAGAGCAAGATTCGAGATACGAGGAATCGCACACTACACCCCTGCACACGACCGCAATATGCGCGCATGTTGGTGTACTGTGCAGCGTCTAACAGTTTCTTCCACCTCATCAAAACGTTTTCCGAACTGATAGTAGCCAAAGGATACATCCCCCAGCAAGTCTTCAACTGTGACGAGACAGAGCTTTTCTGGTAAAGGATGCAAAATAGGACTTACATAACGGCAGAGTAGAAGACGATGCCAGGTCGCAAACCCATGAAGGATAGATTAACTCTACCACTTTGCGCCAATGCGAGTGGCGACTGCAAAATCAAGCCTCTGCTAGTATACCATTCGGAAAATCCCAGAGCCTTTAAGTCACATAAGATTTTAAAAGAAAATACTGCCAGTTATGTGGAGGGCAAATCCGAAGGCGTGGGTCACCAGGAAATTCTTTGTGGAGTGGATAAACCTGGTGTTTGGCCCTTCTGTTAAAAATATCTACAGGAAAACAACCTACCCATGCAAGCCTTTCTCGTCCTCGACAATGCCCCTGCTCACCCACCAAATCTCGAAGATGATTTACTCGAAGAGTTCAAGTTTATAAAGGTTCTCTACCTACCACCCAACACCACTCCTATCCTGCAGCCCATGGATCAGCAGGTGATTTCTAATTTTAAGAATTGTACACCAAGCACATTTTTTCGGGGCTGCTTTGAGGTGACGAGAGAACACAAACCTTACCCTTCGAGAGTTCTGGAAGGACCACTTTAACATCGTGATATGCCTAAGAATTATTGATGAGGCCTGGCTGGGTGTTACAACGAGGACCTTAACCTCTGCATGGAAGAAGCTGTGACCTGAGGCTGTAGCTGAAAGGGCCTTCGATCGAAGGATTGGAAACCTAAGTGTCAGTAGTAGAGGAGATTGTTTGAGGAGATTGTTTCTCTGGGAAAATCCAGTGGATGAGAGAGACGTGAACGAACTCGTCGAGGAACAGTCTCAGGAGCTGACAACCGAGGAGTTACTCGATCTACATTCGCAGCAGCATATGGTGGTTCAACGAAAAATTAGTTTTGAAGATGAGCGAGAGATGGAGGAGGTTATCCTACAAGAGATATAAAGGAGATCTTGGGAATGTGGGAGAAAGTTGTAGAGTGCGAGGATAAAAATCGCCCCGAAAAAGTTGCAACTGGTCGTGCATAGAAGTTGTTCAACGAAACTTCACTAACTCATTTCCGCAATATCCTGAAAGGGAGGAAGAAAGAAACCTCCTTGGACAACGATCTGCAAGTGAAAATGAGCAAAGCGCAACAAAAATGCGAAGACCAGTGACGAAAATTAAGCGTTTCCGTAAGCACTTCACTTTTTCTTTTAATTATGTTTTTATAGAATGTGTATTTGTTATTCATAAATAAATGTTTCTTCTTCTAAATACATTTTGTTTATTCAAAAACACTTAAAAAAACAACTGAGGCGGTGTTTTAAGAGCTGGAACGGATTAATGGCATTTCAATTAATTTCAATGGGGAAAATTGCTTTGAGATACGAGCAATTTGACATACGAGCAAGGTTACGGAACGAATTAAACTCGTATGCCGAGGTACCACTGTACTTTAATTCTAAAATTTAGGGTGAAAATTGGACCTCTTTAGGAGAGATCAGTTTTTCATGTCTGGTCTAATTTCACTTAGTTTTTACCATAAATTAGAATCCACTTATAATTTTGCTCTATTTTTATTTTTCAAATCTACTATGGATGAAAATCCTCGTTCGCACAAATAGGTCGTGCAAAAGGCAATAAAAATTCAATAGCTTTATTTGCAATACCTCTATATTCTTTTTCTCGTTTCAGTCAAAAGTTAACAAATGTGTTATTTTTGAAATCTTCAGTTAGAGTTCAAGCATGGGAAATTTATATCATTTGTTCTTTTCCTTCACGAGATTTTTGAATTTAATAGTTAAAAATACGTTGTTCCTTTGCGTACCACCTATTTTTTTTCGCACCACCAGTGGTATGCTTACCACCGGTTGAGAATCGCTGCTCTAAATGAAACTATCGATTGATTAGTATTTTAATCATTCGCAATGAAACGTAACGTCTTCATTTGAACTTTTTCCATTTCATGAGTTCAGATACATTTTCCAAAGTATTTGATTTCATAGGTGAGTTTTCTTAATTTTACTGCAATACGTTAATTTCTGAAAAATGTCATATTCTAAATGGTCCTTTAAAATTTTAACATACAAAAATATACCTGGTTTAAGGATTTGAAATTTCCAAATGTTACAAAACAAACTCTTCCTCCTCTTCCAAAACAATAAGAGGAAAAAAGTATTGATTAAACGACTTGCTAGAGTTAAAAACGAAAAACTAGCTGCCTTTCTTATAAGCTTTGATTTAAGTCTCACAGAATATTTATCACTACTCTATGGCAATCAAATAGATTAAAACTCGATTGCAATTCAATGTGGTGAAACAAATTTTTCAAACTTTGATTTAGATTTTATTTTTAATTTAATAATGAAGCAATTTTTTGCATGTATCCTCAATTAACACACAAAACCTCAATTAACACACAAACTAAAAATCTCAAAATTTTACTTTTGCATCATCCCGGGGGGCGGAAAAAATCTTTTAATGCAGTTTATAAGATATTTCAACGTCATTTCACGTTGGTTGGCAAATTTACTCGATATTTTCGATCATTTGATGTAACAGAACTGCTGAAAATAAAAGAGGCATTAATCATTGTCCAGAAAATTACTTTTAAATTGAATAATTTAATTGGTAACGTGCATTGAAACTAAAACGATGGAAAATAATAAAAATAAAAAATTTTTTTAAATATTTATAAGGAAAATATTTTTATGAAATAAACCTTTGTTTAAAATTCATAAAATAATTAATGAACTAAAGAAGAAAAATAATGTATAGTTGTAATTTAATCTGAATAAGAGATTCAATAATTCTCTTTGCAATATTTGTATAGAATTTCGTATAACGAACAATAAAAGAGTGGGCGCCTAAAAAACAACTCTATTAATATGGCTAAATAAAATATGTTAATCAAAATGCATTGTAAAAGCTGTAAATCATTATCTTTATAAATCTGTCAAAGGCGTCCCATTTTTTTATTTTCCTTGATGAAAAATTGTATGTAGGTCTGAAGACAATTATTTATTCTCGTATTCCCATTAAACTATATGCTATTCTTTTCTCTCTCTTGTTCATTACGTATTTTAGGAGCTTTACATAAAATCTTTTATAATTATTATTTTTTAACTGAGGATATTTTAGGGAAGGGAAATATCAGTTATTATATTATTCTTTCTATTTATTTTCGACAAAAAAATAACAACATGATTAATTCTTTCTGTTCTGAAACCCATCTGGAGGTTTTCGAATAAAACCGCTGTTATAAAGATTTTCTTTACTGTAACATTCGATACTTTAAATCAAAATGAACATTTTTAATTACTTCACGTTTGGACTTAAAACATGTCAATTAAAATTAAATAATGGTGCGATAAAAAAGGAACTAGTATGTATTAATGTTAAAATACTAATCCGATATGAAATAAAAGCATATATATATTTTAAAAACGCCTCCCATAAGGGAAAGTGGTAAAGGACTCTGAATTCCGTACCGAAGGGCCCGGGTTCGAATTTCGGAGAAGGCATGGCTGTAAATTATCTGTCCCTTCATAGTAGGCAATGGTGTTCCACCTATCAGGTGCCTCCACAATAAAGTGCCCGTTGGGAAAAATATTTTTGAAAACAAAGTATTAAATTTCAGAAACATTAATCAGAAAGCACTTGCAATAAAATACATGAAAATGGGATGCAAAATAAACATTTTTCTTTTACAAATGTTTTCGAGTTGAATAAAAAGAAATTATAAAACACTCACCAGAACCAAATTTGAAGATGAAAACAGGTAGTCGACAAATGTCATTTTGCAGTTTACAAAACTTATACTGGTGACAGCAAGAAATGTCAAGCTTAGTAATATGTACCATGAATGACGGACAGCTAATAATCTGAAATATAAAGGAAGGAATATTTTTCAGATCCTTTAAAAACATAATTTACCTTATTCTAAAACGAATAATTAAAAAACATGTAAGGTTTTTAAAGGAGTACATTTTAGGTATCTGTTGTTTTCAGAAACATTTTTCTGTGTTGCTATCATTAGATGCTGAATGAGGAAACGAAAGAAAACGGTGCAAGTACAAAATATAATTTTTAAAGTTAAAAATACAGATCTTTAAATTAAATATCATCTCGCGAAGAGCTATCTAATTTCGAGTTTATCAACGGAAAGTTAGTAAGTTTTATAAAATGTCACTGGAAAGGAACAGGGTGTTTGGAAAAGATGAATAAGCTTTATTCCTTTATATTTGAAATTACAAAAATCGCTGAGACAACACATATGATTTGTTTAAGCCAATTTCATTACTGTAGTCAAAGAAGATTATGTGAAAAGGAAATTTTTGAATGGCATTTTAGAGAATAAAAATCTCAGATAGCAAAGTAAAGTATTCATCATGCTTTAAATAGTTAAAAAGTCAATATTTCAAACAAAATAATCACCGAAGTACACAGAACAAATGTTTCCAAGAACAATAAGACGACAAGCTACAATTTTAATGAAACCGTGGATTTTTGTGAAACTCTATTTCAATGCAATAGAGTTGAAATTTTGTATGCATTTTTCTAGGTAAATCCTATTCTATTCAAAACAGTCTTATTCTAATGTTTGTTTAATAAAACAAACAGATTTTGTCCCTATTTCTACCTAAATTTGTTTAAATGACTTGAATTTAAAAGCATAAACGAATAACCCATGTCGGCAAATTCGTTCTCGAATATTTCAGTGAATTATTCGCGCACAAAAATCTAACTTTCAGTTCCCAAACTGAAAGGTAACGACTATTTTTTACTGCGGTGGATTTTTAACTCATAGACATCACATAAAAAACCCTGTACTAGCAATCCTTCCCACCCTCTTCCAGAGTTAGACTGTTCTGATGAAATTCCGAGCCTTATTTTAAGAAACGTTGTAATTTGAAGAATCAATCTATAATTTTGTATTTAAAGAAATAAATCCCGGAGGCAGTTTAGACCGTTTTAGAATCGTTTTTACACCATTTACCCTGTAAATTTACACCACTTACCCTGTAAATTCTCAAGCTGTAAATCAAGTCTCAAGCTGTAAATGAAGCAGTTGATAACACCTTGTGACAACATTCTAAAAGCGAGAAATTTAATGTCGCTGTATGTGATTTAGGTCAGGACCTTTGCTGGTGACACCATTTCTTCCAATTTCCTCCAGAAAATTGTGGACACTTTGAACTGTGTGTGACACTGCGTTATTATGCATAAACGTAAAGTCCTATTCAACAAGCTCTCAAGGAAAGCCTCTCACAAGTTTCATGATTCTGATCGTTGTAACGCTACGCAGTCACAATGCCTGCATCGAAGATATACACTGACGTGCGATGGTCCAAAATAACTTCTTCGTCAGAAAAGAATTCCACTTTTACAAAAGTAGCCAATTTCTTTAATATGCGAAATAATAAAATATGTATATCTCTCTGTAGACGAAGACTCAGAGAGAATAACACTGTGTAGTAAATCAAAACTCATCCTCGAAGAAGACATTGCACGACCTTGCAGTGTCCCATAATGGGGTGTTCAGCTGCACAAAATATGAGCTTTCTTCTGCAGTCTTTAGAAGGAACCAGATACCGTTGGTCGCCGAACGTCTAGCTGTCGTCTCTCTGTAGCGTCATGCATGTAATTGAGTTGTGGCTCTTGGATAGCCTTGGTGGGGCCTTGCGGTGATGGTACCCGTAGCATGAAATTGGTGCCATAACCCCAAAGACAATCTTTAAAAACCGAACGATTTCGTTAAAAGTGGGCAGTCTTAAAGCTTATCACAAACCATCAACTAAACCGTGGTTCTCAATCATTTTTGCTCCATGCATCTCTTTCAGCACTGCTAGATGATCACTAACCTCTCTCTTTTCCCAAACTCAAAAAATACACGTATATTTATTTAAATTTAAATATTTTTTAAGTGTTTTATAAATTAAACAAGAAAAGTATGGAAAATGTTGATAAATGCCAGTAATAGAAAAAAATAGTTTTGTAACCATAAAATAAAACAAAGTTATTAACAGATAAATAAAAGACTGACGCATGTTTCCTCAAATACGAGTAGTATTTCTACCTGGTTGAGAACCTCTGATCAAAAGGATTGCAAGAACTCACTTAAACTGAAATCAGCCAATCTTGTGAGTTTTCCTGCGAAGAAATACAATTCTATACACGATATTCATGGGTTCGGAATCCGGTAACTTTCACATTTTGTTAAATATTGTATCTTTTTAAACTTTCAACAAGCACTACGCGTTGACATTACATTTACTGTTCCCAAAATTACATATAGCGCCAATGTTTTTTGAATATTCGTGGTAGCAGTTCTGACCCATTTAAAAATATGTTTGTATTTATTTTTGAATACCAGTGTACTTTTGCTCTTTAAAGAGAACCCCGTTTCGAAATCTCTGGAAAGCGATGTAATTTCTCATTATACAAACGCCAAAAAAGGATGATCTTTGTTAAATTTTACATATGTTTATAAACTTTTTCCTGAAAAATGATTTCAGACATTTGCATAATCACCAGCCAAAGGAATATATTTGCTTAAGGCATGAATTAATGCCTTCGCCAAATTTGCATTATTAACTACAGACTTCCGCACTTTACAACTAGTATTTCATCACTGAGGATTACTTCATGGACATAAACATTCTATAATTATAAAATTCTGCAGAAGTAACAATGAAACAGAAAACAGTAACAGAAAACGTATCTCACTTCACTTCGAAATTGCTGGCATGATTCTGATTATCCTCCGCTTGTACTATACTTAGATTCTGCTTCAGTGCTACACTGAAGCCACTCTGGATCTAGAAATAAGAATTTTTTGAATATGCACCTTAGATTAATAAATTCAAAGAAATTTCAAATAAAAAAATTCATGAGACATACAGTCAAGTAATGTGCATTTACCAATGGAGATTTTAGTTTTTCTGCTCTTTCGTCTAAATGATCGAAATATATTTCTAAACCGTAAGATGTTGAATTTTAAAATGAATTTTACTTCTAAAATATTAAAACATATTGTCGTATTTGGGATTTATTAAAGATTTATACTTAATTAAAATATTTAGTTAGTTTTTTATATTAGTAGTTTAAGAAATTTTGATTAATTTAATAGGCCTTAATTCAAGATTCAGATACGGGCCATGCATGTATGTAGGTATGCACGCATATAATTTCTTTTATATTTAATAAACATGTAAAGATGATGAAATCAGTACACTGTGTGGATAGTAAAATATATTAGTATGAAGATGAATCATTAGTTTAGAGCAAAATTGCACTGAGCTCAGTTACCACTAAGCAACCCGACTTTCACTAGTTCCAAATGTGATAGAGAAAATAGTTATCATGTATTAAAACAAAGGTACTTTATTATATTCGGATATAAAACTCTACTAATAAAAAGCTTATCGGAAGCCCAAAATAACAGGCCAACTAATTAAAAAGCTACTTACATGATTTACATTTGGTAAAAAGTCATTAGAATGACATGCTACTGTTTACTAACTTCTAACATAAATTTCGTTTCCGAGGAAAATTTACAAGAAAATTAATCGAAAGACATAATACATTATTCGTCTCTAAAGCTCAATTTCTTAGGTTTGGACTCTAACATTTGCACTTTACTTAAGTTTAGGTGTTGTAAGTTATCGTTTTAGTTTTTTAATGAGATAGTTTAAATTAATCAGCTTTCCTATCCTCCTCATTTACATTTCCCTGCCAGAATGTCAATTTCTTAGTCGCGTGACATACAGATGAGGTAGAAAAATGGGAGTATATAAAGGAAGGATTTAGACGACTTATAGAGTTCATCATTTTTATTCTGTTAAATTAAGTGAACGGGGAACCTAGTGAAGTGCTAAGCGAATGCTCGCTTAAGTCCATTAACTGAGAGTGCAAACTCAGGAAGAGTTAATTACCCTTTATTCACTAAAAATGAGATTAACAGTCGGCCCCTTTCTTTGGGCATACAGCAAAGCCTCCACTTGGGCTTAAACTCAAAATGTAAGAAATAAGAATAACTAATAACTAATTAAAGAGATTTAGCCGAAGCTAAAACAATTCTAAAATAGTTGGACAATTCTAAAACAGTTGGACAATTCTAAAATAGTTAATATTTAATTAACTAGCGAACTATCAAAAGGCGAGTAATACGGCCCAGCGTAACAACAGCTTAGAGAGACATAGCCTAAAGAGAAAACCGCGCTACTCCTAATCTTAACTCTCTCTGTCGAACTTGACTTAAATACTACTCTCTTCCTCATTTTCATTTAACGCGATCCTAAAAACTCATTCTGGTAGGGAGTTGTAAGTTGAAACTATAGGTTTTGGGCTTCCCTGTTCCGAGAACTAGCTCACTACAGGTCGACTCTGCCTTCGGGCACGTCGTGGAGGTTCAACCTCCACTATTACCCTCCAGCAGAGCCGCGCACCACCTGGATACGTCACCAGGCAGCACCGGTCGTCAATTGCTCCTGCCAGTCGCTCGGGCGAGCCCGTCGCGGCGGGACATTACCCAGCGACCCCGGGGGAAATCCCCACGGGTTACTAGCACCACGCCGCGCTAGGACGTGCCAGACTCCGAGGCCGGCCATAAGTGACCTTCCAGAGCCTTCAGAACCACCAAGTTCATAAATTTTATACCCCCGTGGCCGAGACTGCCTAGGTACAGATCCTAGCCAGTAGCTTCGCAGAATTCTCTACGTCGACCCCGGGGGGGGTGTAAGTTGAAACTAGATAAGATAGGAAAGATGCATTAACTTAAAAATAACTGTTATAAAATTAAAATATACCTTACAGGTTGAATCAGAGTTTGTTTCGCCTGCTGAAGATCGCATTGCTAAATTGATTTTATTTTTAATAGTACTTAGCGGCGTTGCGTTATTCTAGCCATTAGCCTTGTTACGCCAACATTAGCTCACAGCTAAATTGTGCGTTACCTAATTGTGCTGCTATTAGGGTAACTTACTTTTCTTAGTTTTAGTTAACTCATTACTTTTGATTTAAGCCATAGCTGTTGGATTTGTGCGCACAAGTTGTTTCTTTATTGGCTTTTATTGAAGTCAAACAAAATGGTCCTTTATTTACTCTTCACTACCTTTTCACTATTTCCGTGGTACTTACATATTGATAATTCACTATGAAGTGTTTACAACGTTTCGTGCATTTTATGCTTGGAATGGAAATGAAATGTTATGGCGTAATTACTGGTTTTATTATAAGAAAACAGTATAGTCTATTTTTTGCAGTTCTCGATAAGGTTTTGAAAAGAAGTATTTTCTTAATGGTATTTATGTGTGCTGTTATTTCTTTAGAACAATTCGAATGATTTTCCACCTGGCTCTCTTAATTTTTCCAAGTGCTTTTTCTTTCCAGCATATGCAAAAGCTTTTCCCCATTTTTCGTTATGCCTTTTATACTATATTTCGTTGATATTATTTCAAATGAACATTCCAGATAAGCAGGGAGCTTACGTACCTGTAAGCTTAAATTAAAATTGAACTTAAAAGCAAAATAGAAAATAAGAAAATATTTTTGAAAAAAAAAAATTAAACTTGAAACAGATATAAGGAAAACTTATACAAGGTAACCTGAACAGGCAAATATACAATTAAAATAAACAGCTCAAAAGCTGCTAGTAAAAAAAAATAACATTATTTTAAGGGTAAGACCTATTAAATCAAAGAATAAAAACTTTTGCTAAAAAGGAAAATAAAAAAAGACACAAAATGGGTTCTTCTTACACCATAGGCAAAGAAAAATAGAAGAAAAAAAGGCTGACATACCTGCGTCTATTGCGATTGCCTTCTTAGATTAAAGTGAGCAAAAATCGCGAAAAACGGTTGCCAGAATTAGATGGAGTCGAAAGAATAGAAAAGCAATCAAATTTTACCAACTGGGTGAGATGACGTAATAGAGAACAAACCTAATTTTGCAGTAGCCAATGGAACTAAACGCTCTGTGGAGAAAAAAACTAAGGGGGGCAGTGAAGGAAGAAGAAGAAGAAGGCAACTCTTACAAAATGGCGTCTTGTTTAAGACTAAGTCGTTTTTGAAAGTGAAGATGTAAACAAAATGGCGAAAATCAAAGAAATTGCTAATAGCGAATTAGCGAATTTTTACTTTCCTCTTCTTTGCGAATATATATATATATATATCTGTGCATGTTCCTCGCATTGCGGTAAAACGGTATCACTTAGAACCATCAGATACTGAAATACCTATTTCATCACTCGAACCTGTACACCTCGACGGCCAAATTTGAATTTGGAATTATTTTATTGCATATTTTGTGCAAATTTAATAAGATTTTAATTAATGATTTCAGCGATTTGAAAGATCTCTTGCCATTTGCCAAATCGTAAGATATTTACGTTTCATATTTAATTAGAAAACTCCGCAATTTAAAACAAATCTGTTACTACTCGAAAAAAAGTAGGATATTTGTTTTTCAGATTTAATCAATAAACTGAGCTATTTAAGTGAAATTTTGTTGCCGCTGTCTGAATCTCCACGTGCCAATGCAAAGCATAATATATTTAGTTAATAGTTCAAGCTTAAACTGTCTGTTAATGATTAAACTGTCTGTTAATGATTAATAAACTAAGCTATTAAACGCAGTTTTTCTTCTGTTTTATAGCTAATCTAGCAGCCGGCCTATGAAACTGCATTAGTTGAAGTTATTAAAAATACTAAACTATTTTGTTTTCCTATTTTTTTATAATAATTATCTTAGACTGCCAGCCGCGTATTGTTGAACAACAATATTATTCCTGTCCCGACATTCTCTGTTTTTGTAATTTTTCTAGTTGTAGCTTAACCGCAATTATGCTTCAATAATCATTCCTTATCTAGAGGTTTGGGCATGCTTGGAAAGGTAACAGTTTATTGATTTCCTGGGGCAAAGCATGTAAGTGGTTTCTTAAATCCTAGTCCACTGGTACTTATACAGAACCGTGCATAAATTTATGTATTTCTAAGTTAAAGCAGTTATGTTTGAGATGATAAAATTTATTAACTAGCCCCATTCCAGTGATCAAATGCATATGGTCCACCGCTCCTGACAATTCTGGAAGCATTGGAAGAGTTTATTTTCGACATTTTTGTTAAATGATGCCGTCACCTTATTCTGGACAATATGATTTATCTGAAGTTACCAATCCCTCAGAACCATGCTGAGAAGATAGGATACCGTGTTCAATTTGTTAGAAATCAGACATGTGTACACTTGTCGCGATGTGGTAAGGGCTTTTCTAATCAAACAGATTCGAACTTTTTTCTTTCCCTCAGACACCCTTTTGATTTTCTTGTACGAAGTAAAGGAAGTGCAGTCAAATCCAGTGAATTGGAACACCCGATAATCGGAGCAGTAAAAAATCCCATGTACATAAGCCTAATATTATTCGCTTATTTGGACCAAAATTCCATTTAATCGGATCAAAAAAAAAAAAAAAAAAAAAAAAAAAAAAGTGACAGCGAGTAAGAAACAGAAGCCACAAGTCGGCCGCGTACAACGGATGTACAGGTGGTCCGCCACATATGGGAGGATCTGTAGCTGCGCTCCCAAGGAGAGTGATTTATGAAAGGTCAGGAATTCCAAAGTGCATGACAATGATCGATGGGGCCCTTAATGAATGGTTTGTCATTGTTACTGGACGATCTGTGCGAGTAAGCGGCCCAATGTTAAAATGCAAAGCAGAAAAACTCGCTAAAAAGCTGGGCCACGATGACTTTGAAGCTTCGGACGGTTGGTTGTCTCAATAAAAATCTAGACATGACATAAAATTCAAGAAAGCACATGGCGA